ATTTTGAAATGTTTAATTGTATGGTTATGCATTGTGAACTACATGGATATGACAAATAATTATATGAATGATTACTAGATATTTCAATTTTTGAAACCTACAATTTCTGTCCGTGTCTAGTACATAACGCACTGTAGAGTTATCAAGTCTATATGTAGTACATGTTTTACAGACAGGTATGAGTATAATGTAAATCACTTTTAATGATTAAATATCTGATACCTAAAAATAGTGAAACCTTTGTGATGGATTAACTAATTACAGCTGACAATTTACTATTGAATCCATTTCTCAAACCGTAGTTGATAGCCCACTCTTCTTGAGAATAATATTTGCTATGATGCTTAAAATGTAGCACGTAACTTGGTGGAAAGCATTCAGATTCTTTATTTTATAGCCTAGTGCAATTTTTGACCTTTTAAATCCTCATGATAACAATGGTGTTATTTTACAAGCAATCCCACTCACTAAATTTTAAATTCGTAAGTATTTAAGGAGGAAGGATCATTGCTGTTTATAGTCATGGAATGTTATGGAACACTTATGAAACAGACACAAGAGCACGTTAATTGGATTTTGTTACAGGAGGTTGATCCTTCTCTCCAGAAATTTTAATAGGAGAGGAATTGATGACATGATGGTAATGTTCTTCAGTTTTTCTTGCTGTATTCTGTTCTTTTTGAATTTTAATTATATGGTCTGAAATCTTTTTACACCAAGTAGTTGAATTATTTTGTATCTTGTAGCTTTAATTAGATTCAAGTTTTTTTTTCTCCCTGCATAAACTGTGTAACTTTAACAGTTAAAAGGTTATGGAGATTACAGTACCAGATAGTACCTGTGATAGTATGGTGCAATATTTTATTGTTCTGTTGAATAGATAAGCTTAAGAATGACAAAGACAAAAAGATCAACAGAATTTATCAATAAATTTCATTGAATAAACAGACTTTATTTCCTGTTCAGTGATAAATAAGCATTGCAAAAAAAACCCATTTTTTCCACAAATCTGATGTGATAAATTTGTATTGTATTAGTTATAAATAAAGAAATGTTTATACCATTGAACTTATGACACATAAGCTAAACATATGCAAGGCCATTAGCTTTGTTTTCAGTTCTGTTCAGAAGAATAAGAAATTGAGTTCAGAAGCAATATTTCAGTTCAGCTCAGAAGTCACCCAAGTTGAGTTCAGAAGCCATGTATACTACAGGCCTTCCAGCAGCCAACGGGAGACAGAGGAGAGAACATGTAGACAGATTTCGGAAAGATGTAAAAACAGCAGGGTTGTTGTGGTGGGAGATTTCAATTTCCCCTACATTGAGTGGGACTCACTTCATGCTAAGGGCTTGGATGGGGCAGAATTTGTAAGGACCATTTAGGACAGTTTCTTGACACAGTATGTAAACAGTTCAACCAGGGAAGGGGTTATACTGGACCTGGTTTTGGGAAATGAGCCTGGCCAGGTGCGTGAAGTTTCAGTAGGGGAGCATTTTGGGAACAGTAACCAGTCCTTGGGTGAAGTTGTTAAATTGGGGAAAAGGTGAACTACAACAATATTAGGCAAGAACTGGAGAATTTTGATTGGAGGCAGCTGTTTGAGGGTAAATCCACATCAGACATTGGGAGTACTTCAAACAGCGGTTGATAACTATTCAGGAGCTGCGCAGTGCTGTGAAAATGAAGGATAGGTGTGGCATGTTATATGTGATCCTTGGATGACCAGGGAAGTTATGACCTTGGTCAAAAAGAAAAAGGAAGCATATACAAGGTCGAGGAGGATACTTGAAGCACTTCAAGTATATAAGGGAAGTAGGAAAGAACTTCAACAAGAAATTAGAAGGGTTAAAAGGGGTCATGAAAAGTTGTTAGCAAACAGCATTAAGGAGAATCCCAAGGCTTTTTATGCGCGTATAAAAAGCAAGAGGATAGCCAGGAAAAGGGTTGGCCCACTCAAAGATAAAGGAGGGAATCCATGTGTGGAGCCAAAAGAGGTAGATGATGTCCTAAACAAATACTTTGTTCATGGTTAGAAAAGTTAATGCCAGCAGATCCGAGATTCTAGACTACCTGGTCATCTGGAATGTCCCTTATGTGTTTACTCTGCCTAGTCCTGTTAGAATTTTACACGTTTCTACATGATCCCGTCTCATTCTTTTACTCCTAACTGATCCAGTGTTTTTTCATAAGCCAGCCCTACCAACTCAAATCAATCTAGTAAACATTTGTTTCATACCTCCACAGTCAGATCATCCTTCCTGAGATGAGGAGACCAAACTGCAGATGTGGTATCACCAAGGTCCTGCACAATTGCAGCAAGTCATCCCCACTCTTGTACTCACATTGTCTTGCTACGAAGGCCAATGTACCATTTGCCACCTTCACCGTCTGCTGCACCTGCATGACTACTTTTGGCAATTAGTGAATGAGAACACCCAGATGTGATTGCACCTCTCCCTTTCCCAATCTCATTCCGTACAGATGATAATCTGCCTTCCTGTTTTTGCTACCAAAGTAGATAACTTCTCATTCATCTGCGTTATACTTCATCTGCCATGCATTTTTCCACTCACCCAACTTGTCCAAATCTCACTGAAGCATCGCTGCATCCTCCTCTGTTCACCATCCCACTCAGTTCTGTGTCATTTCAATGACTAATCACCACTCCAACTGAAGAAAAATGTGATCTATCGATTAAGGTTTTATTCTTGAATACGACTTGTCCAATAGTACCAATAGCTGGTAACATAACAGCATTATAACTTTGGAAGACAAGTTACTACCATGGAAACAGGAGAAGGTTATTCACCCTCCTGAGGCTGGTCTGCTATCTCATTAGGTGGCTAATCTGTGCTTCATCTCCGTTTATCTGCATTTGCTCCAGAGAAAAATATAATAAATAAGCGCAGTAGTAGACCACGTGGTACTTTGAAATTACTGCATCATTTCAATATGATCATGACTGATACCCCTTCTAAAGACTGTTGGTTTTTTTTTGATTGTGAGTAAAGTGTGAAAAGAACTGTTTATGTGAAAAAGGATTTGCTGCACTTCTTAAAAGCTAGTAAAGTAACACTCACTAAGAACTGTATACATAGCACTGTGTATTACAGGTAGTTCTCCTATAATGCATGTTTCATTAACGTGAATTGGCTGTAATGTGATTGATGAATAGTGGACACTGTTTGGATAACGCAAACTTTCTGCTGTACAGGTTTAGTGATTTTCTATAGCGATTTCCTATAATGTGATTTTCTATGGCAATTTTCTATAGCGCGAGGTCACACAATGCAGCTATTGCATTATAGGAGAAGTACCTGTATGTGATTGGCTCCCAGGCAGCTGAACAACTTGGGTTGTGAATGAAGGAGAAGGAACAGTATTTTTTCTATGATGAAAAGCTTGATGATAGCCAGTTTATTTCCCCTTTCCAATTGCTGTAAGCTATGACTTTTAATTCGTAAGTTCAGAATCTTTATGTAGGAACCAGGCCATTGTGTGCCTCCTGCAGTCAGATGAAAGTATCTGGTGAATGCAGATAGAGAAGTAGCATTCTGATCGGTACAATAATCATCCCAGCAAACTCTGTGGACAGGGACCACTGAACTGCCTTCCTAGTTCTTCCTTCTGCCCAAAGCACCCATGTTTGATTTTCCCAAATCGGAGTCTGGGTAGAGGGGGAGTTTATAAGGCTGTTGGAGTTTTAAGTAGTAGAGTTTTATATATATCAACAGTTCATAATTGTTTATCTGTAGCTAGAATCCATTTGTATTAAATAATAATTCTTGTTAAGTGCAGAAACCTGGTTCATGCTTTCTGTCAACCTGCACCTGAAAGACACAAATTGGGGGATGCTGAATGCTTTTTAAAATCTTTAACTTTTGTGACAACTCTAGGTGTAACACCCTCAACTCCACTTTGCTATCCCATATCCCTTGAGTTTCTGTAGGTTTAAAAATCTTTCGATCTTCAGCCTTGAATGTACTAATTGATAAGCATCTATAGCCCTTTGAGGAAATTTCTCCTAATCTCAATTCTAAATTACTAATCCTATGTTGCAATGGATTTCATTATATCTGGAGTTGATCAGTTAAGTTGTCCTAACTGATCCTTTCACAAACTTAAGTTCAAGAAATTTAGGATAAACTGCTTACCTTGAATTAACTTGATTGAGTGGTTTTTGAGAATTATGCTGAATGTGTACATTTCTAAATGTGAGGTTGAGTTAACTGTGATTCAGTTTTTTGCAAAACGATTACAAACATTCATCTGATGGCTTCAAACAGGGAATAAGAATTAACGTTTTAAAGGTGCATTTAAGTTAGTTGATCATTAAGCAGATTGATACTTAGCACTTATTACCGGATAGGTATTTTCCTAATCAACCTGTTCAGAGATGTTACTACACACCTCTGATGCAGGTGGGACTTGAAGCTTGGTCTCTTAGCTCAAAGTTAGGGACATTATGACTGTATCACAGGAGCCCTAATTACAGGATACGTTAGTTTCCATTGATTACGAAATTAAATGAAAGACTAGTGCCTAAGTTTTATCCAATAGAGAACAAAATAATTTTTCTCAAGCTGTAGTGTTATTCATTTAATTGCATGGAAAATAAAATTGTTTCTGACATGAGTATGGTTCAAGTGAGTTTCAGTATGTTAAATTGCATTGTAATGAACTAAACAACTTCTAAGTATTCATTTATGAACTTTTGAATCAAACAATTTTATATTTTAGTTCCAATGATATAATATATGAGTGACATCACTAGCGATTTAAATGTTGGAAATCAGATTGCGTTTGAATGTTAAAATTGCAGAAAACTGGAATTGGAATGGAAAGTTTTGTTGTTGGCTTAAAAATTAATTGCATTTTGCACCAGAATTGAATTAGTATTCAAGCTTAACTCTGGCCCTATCACATAGTTGAAGGAAACAAATCTTTGAGTGTGTCAGATGTAATGTAATGTAATTGTTTTTCATTTTGTTGGCCTTAGGTGTTTTTCAGAGCAGGAACTCTGGTTAAATTGGAAGAACAAAGGGATGAACAGACTAGAAGGAATATCACACTGTTCCAGGCAGCTTGCAGAGGATACCTTGCAAGACAATATTTCAAGAAGAGAAAGGTATGACATTTGACAGAGCTTTATAAAACCAATAAAGAGTTCATTCTAAACATGCTTTTTGTACTTTTTGTCATCTTTCATTTTAAACTATGCAATGGTACAGCAAAGAGGAGGCTATTTGGCTCATCAAGACTGAGCAGGCTTTTCTGAATTTTACTGTAATCCTTCATCCCAGGAGCCTTCCTGGTAAATCTCTTTCACAACCTTGCTAAAGCTTCACATCTTTTCTATAAAATGTGGGACCTAAAAGAAGTGTTTACAGAGTTTCAGCTTGCTACCTGCTGTACTCCATGCTTCTATTTATAATCCTCAGAATCACATTTAGTTTATTATTTTTTTTAATCTGGCCTAGTCACATTCAAAGGTTTGTGAACAGCATCACCACTGTCAATATTCTTCCACTCTAATACTTCATAAAGGTTGTGGGGGTCCTGAGAGAGTACCAAGGAAATTACCTACAATTTTTTTTGTACTTTTGTATTCATTCACTGGACGTGGGCATCACTGGCTAGGCCAGCATTTATTACCCAATCTTAATTGCCCAGAAGGCAGTTAAGAATCAACCACATTGCAGTTGGTCTGGAGACACATGTAGGTAAGGAAAAATCTTTCGATCTTCAGCCTTGGTTTTTTGACAATCATTAATGGTTTCATGATCGTCTTTAGACTACTTAATTCCAGATTTTTATTCAACTCAATCTGCTGTGGGTCTCTGGATTAGTAGCCTAGTGATAATACCACTAGGCTATTGCCTGCCCAAATTATTCTAGAGAAAGAGGAAGTTTTATGACAGGGTTAATTTGGAGAAACTGGAATTGTTGTTTTTGGAGGAAGAAAGTTTGAGAGAAGATCTGATTGAAGTGTACAAAATTATGTCCAATTTAGATAAGACCGACAAAGGAAAGCTGTTCATGATAGCTGATGGTATACAGATGTGGGACACAAGTTTTTGAACAAGCAATGCAGGGGGATATAAGGAACAAGGGATTTTTTTTACAGTGAGTGGTAATGACCTGGAATAGAGAGATGTTGACAGAAGAAATGGACAGGAACTTGAAGGAAATAAAGTTTCAGGGCTACAGACACAAACAAATAACGGATTAGCTGGATTGGTCTTCAGAAAGTTGGCATTGATTTGATTGCTGACTGGCGTTTTTGTTTTGTAGTGACCCTTTGATTCTGTCATTTAGCTTGTATTGTATTTCCTCATTCTTCCTACCAAAACGTATCACTTCATCTTTTGTGTGTTGAATTTAACCTGATGGGTGTGCATGCAACATTAGAACATAACAGTAGCAGCCATGAATAATACCTTGGCATAGCATAAATATGGATTTCCAGCTTGGTAGACCATGTTTTCCATGTCATGGTGCACTTTAATTAATTCAGTTTGTATTGCAATTACAGAAAGTTTCTACTTCCCTTTTTAGGGAGGTTTATCTCGGAAGTATTTTAAATAAACTGATCTTGGCTTTAAGATGGTATGACCAACCAATCTGACTAAAGCTAATTAATTAACTTTTAGGTTCAAGAACTAGCTATTCGTTGTGTCCAGAAAAACATTAAAAAGAACAAAGGAGTCAAGAACTGGCCGTGGTGGAAACTATTCACTACTGTCCGGCCATTAATTGAGGTTCAGTTAACAGAAGAGCAATTACGGGGCAAAGATGTAAGTACTTTGGACTCAAATTTAACATAACATTTTATTTTGTATAGTCATAGATAAATGCTGCTTTTTCATGTTATAAGTTTGCAGTTACATTTTTATCATCGTACAGAGTTATTGTTTTATATGTAACATAAGATTTGAATATACAAAATGCCCAAAGAACATGAAGCAGGGATTGCTTATTCCACTGGCATCAGATCATTACAAGCATGAAGGGAAATTAAGAATAAATGAGAAACTGTTTATACAATATATAGGGAATGACCATGTGAATGACATTGGGCTGAGGGAATTCCTTTGTTTTTCTCCTCTTTCTTCCTGTGATAACATCTTTAAAGCCATGGGGAATCATTCATTAATCTCCTCGTGAAAGTGTTGACTATGAGGTCCCTTGGTAACAGGCAATAGCTGGAACTCATCACCTGAGTCCTTTATAGGGCCTTTTTGGGGACTGCACAGTGGTTCAGTCATTAGGGCTGCTGCCTCATGGGGACCCAGGTTTGGTTCTGACCTTGGGTGACTCTGTGGAGTTTGCACGTTGTCCGTATGGGTTTCCTCCAGGTTCTGTGGGTTTTGGGGCCCTCATAGCAAAGTGGTAGTGTCCCTACCTCTGGACTAGTTCAAGTACCACCTGCTCTCGAGGTGTGTAGTAACATGTCTAAACAGGTCAATTAGAAAAATAAGATAATGTCCCTATGTGTGGACCAGGAGGCTCGCTCTTGACTGTGCTGGTGGTGGATAGTAGTTCTTTTTCAAAAAAAAATAAAAAAAGTCAGTGATTTTACCATTGGGAAAGTTGCTCAGTTGTGTGTGATAACACTTCTGGGTAGAAAAGATAAATAGGGCCCTTGTGTTGGGGTTCTTGATTGTGTCCCTACCTCAGAGCCAGGAGAACTGGGTTCAAGTCCTACCTATTCCAGAGGTATGTAACATAATCTCTGAACAGGTTAATTAGAAAATAGGTGGATAAACGATGGAATTAAAAAAAAAAAAAGGCCCTTGTGGGCCAGCAGTACTACCCCTACCTCTGAGCCAGAAGGACTGGGTTCACGTCTCACCTGCTCCAGAGGTGTGTAATAGCATCTCTGAAAATATCATAAAGCAGACCCAAGAGCTCTAATGGTGTAATAGTGCCCCTACCCCTGAACAATGATACCTGGTTTCAAGTCCCACCTTCTCTGGAACGGTGTAACAACATCTCTGAGAAGGTGGATCAGGAAAATATCTATTAAGTAGACCAGGGGTCTATTGTGGCGCCATGGTGGCATCCCTGCTTGAGTTAGAGGACCTGGGATCAAGTCTCACCTGCTCCAGAGGTGTGTAAAAACAACTCTGAACAGACCGATGTAAAAAAAAATAAACAAAAATAAAGCAGACCCAGGTCTACATTTGGGCCCTGATGGCACAGTGATAGTATCCCTGCTTCTTAGCCAGAAGCTCCAGGTTCAAGTCCCATCACTTCAGAGCTCTGTTACAACACATGTGAACAGGTTGATTAGGAAATAAAGCAGACTCAGAGATGGATCTGCAGAACTGTCTGTCCTGGGGTGGGACTAGCCTACTTATCCCATGAGTAGTAGCTGTATTTTGGTGTTCAACAGTAAATAATGTTCATTTCCAGTCAGGTTTCCTGAGTTATTACACTTCCACCATTCCTTCCCTCCACTGAAGAATTTGCCAGCAAGTTGTTGTTCAACTGATCTAGCTGCCCTCCCTCACCACTGCTACATGTTGGTGGAGTTCCCGTTATGTACGTTCAACTATTAAAAATTATGATTACTGGATAGTGAATGGTGGGCATTTTGGTCACAATAGTAACTAATTCTATTTGCTGTCAAATCAATTTGTATTTGTATGGATATATGTAGTTCCTTGTCTATCTCATACTAATGTGTGTGTATATATACTTGTGTGTTTCTCCCTCCCTACTTAATCACCACACAATGTCAGGTGAATTTTATCTATTATCCTTACTTCCCCATCCTCTTCCCGCCATCCATGGACATCGAGGCCAACTATACTATCTTTTGACCTAGACTGTTGGGAATTAAATTTGCAATCTTTGTGATCTGTATTATAGTTCAGTCTCTGAGTAGGTGGATTCACAGAGGTAATGACAAACAGCATATGTTATGGTTTCAATGCAAGTCTTTGAAATTAATATTAAAATATTATATTGTAATGACATTATTTTCCCCAATAGTGCACTTAGAATAAACTATATGGGAAAAGTTGCACTTATTCAAAGTATTTATTAGAGTTAATAAATATGAAAATATAACAATCTTTTAGCTATGATTTGAAGTTTAATTAAAAGTTTCATTTATTGGGATTTATAATATTGGTCGAGATTTCTGCCTCAGTTTGCTTCGCTGATGCACCTTTGAAGCTGAGGAAGTCTCAATATAAGCACATTTTTTGTATTTATGCAGGAAATTTAAACTTGCACTTGATAATTTTGCTCTGATCAGATTACTCCATGTTTGGCCAAAATTATGCAAACTTGAGTTGTTTGTTCAACATTTATCCTGTTTTGTTGCAAATACTTACTTAAAACTTTTCAGAGAAGGTCAAAAGCCCCCTCAGGAGCATAGCTGTAAGTAACTAAGCTGGAGTATCAAAGCATAGCAGTAAAACAAACCCTGCCACTACTTGTGTTGAAGACGTGACCCTTAGCAAAGTTAAGATTTCATCTTAACATAATAAAATAACAAATCAATATTAGCCCACCATTCATGCTGGCCTTGAAGAAAGCTGGACTGCAAGATTTGGCAATCTCAGTGGTGAAAATGCTGTCTCTCTTGATATTTCAATTCCTCTTGATATGTACTATTCCTCAATGGGAGTTTCTAGCATTGAGCTATTTTCAGCTTATGCATACATGAGGAGTAATGTCATCAAGCTGCTAAAACATTCAATTGATTTAAAAATTTTCCACAAGCTACAAACCAGGAAATAATAAAGTGTTAATACAGTGTTTTAAAATTCTTGAAGAGTGAATTAAGATTCGAAAATATGCACAGACTCAAGATAGAAACTGAAATATCATAAATAAACTTCTGAAAATAAAAATGTAATTGCTTAAAAATGTAGTTTATAAAGTGTAATAATTGTACACCTTGGGGAAAAAAATTAACCGTGCTACTTTTTGAAGGCCACGTCAGTTATATGGCAATACTTACTGCTCAGATTGCTGTTTAAATCCCAGTTACACCATGTTGAGCAAAGCTTAATTTTTAAGGAGTTTCTGATAGTGCTAATGGTGTGGAAAAGGAGAGGTTCACGCCAATTCCTGTAAGACAGAATGTTCCCAGTCACTGAACAAGAAAGGTTGGAAAACCACTTAAGATTGATGGAACGAAGATTCGTGACATTGGGGAGATTTGTGACGTTAAGAACAAAAAGGTTCTATTTTCTACCCAAGTGTTGATTGGTGTGACAAGATTCCCTCTAGTAAGTGACAAGAGATCTTTTTGCATACATTAACATCCTGATTATGATGTCATTTCTCCTCATTGATATGAAGTTTCCCATTCTCCCATGTGCCAGATAGAAACTGGATAGTGTCAATTATTGACCTGAAATGCCAACAATTGCCCATTCTCCAACACAGCTGCCACCACCAGAAACTCCAGGTCCCTGTCAGTGAAGTGGTATTCCAGTTTCCTTCTATTTGACATATCTACGGCAATTGGCAGGAACTGTGCCGGACGTCTGCAGATGCTAGCACTTGACTGGGCGCATGCCTAGGCAATAAAGGTGGCATCAGCACCAGGACTCATGTGCGGTCCCGTCATATGCTTCTGCCTGTGACAAGTGGGGTGCCAGAGGGATGTGGTGCATAGTAATAAGGTGAATTTGGGAAGATAGCATGAGAAAACTAAGGCAAGTGGAGAGAAGCTCTTCATGAAACTCGCCAAAATTGACACCTAGCAAATTTCTGATACAATTCAACCTGCGGTTTCTTCAGTTGCTTTGGTAGGGTATGAGGCTGATGGTAGTGACCATAGCAAAGCAATGAAAAGCAACTGGCAAATTTTAAGACTTACATATTATTCTGCACCACTGCTAAATCTTTAAGTTGCATTTGACCTCAGGAGTAATAATGGTAAATGTAATGGTTTGCAGTCAAAACCTGATTTATATCAATGTAGACTTCAATGTTATAACTGTATTTCTGTGTAGAAGGGAATGCTGTCAAGATAACATTTTTAGAAAGTGACTGACATAGATTTTGTTTGAGCATTATCAATGTTTTTATAGTTTACCTTAAATTTTCATGTCCGGAAATGTTTCTGAAGTATAAGTGACTTTGTAAGAAATGCTATCCATTAAGTTTTGAGAAGATGGGAAATGTAAGACATATATAAAAAAATCAGTTTCAACCCTGTTAAACATTTTATTCATAGTGTAGTTAAAAAATCCATTAAACTATCTTAAACTATTAAAAGTTGGGGTTAAAGTTGCATTTCATTTTGTCACTCATTATATAAGAGATAACTGGGAAATATGGTGTTTCGCTGTATTAGGAGGAAATTCAACAGCTACGGAGCAAAATAGAACGAGTTGAAAAGGAGCGTAACGAGCTACGGCTAACCAGTGATCGCTTAGAAAGCAGGGTAAGATAATAATTGTGAATTTTCTGTATATTTGGTATTTCAGTCTTTCCCAGCATACTTCATTTGATGCAGAACAGCAAATGACATATGGAATTAAAATGTTTAGACTTTTCTATTATGGGTAATGTTTCCAATTGCAAGCCATCATTACACTTCAAAAGAAATGAGAGAGAGCAGTGTAATAAATATTCAAAAGTGGTAATCGACATAAAATTAACGGAAATAAAGTTTAAAATTAACAACACTAATCTACCTTGTACTTTCATCTATGATATTAAGGCTGAATTTTGTTCTAATTTAATAATAATTTAAATGCAGTTAAAAACCAAAATGAAAATGACTTAAATTCACGGTGTGATCACAAACGCAGCTGCAATATGTAAATGGTTAAAATGTAATTTTATGCATTCTGTAGCTCAGTGAATAACTACACATTCTAACAGGCTAACAACCATTTGAAATATAATGTTTAATTTGTTTTGGGGTGAAATCTGCATCGTATGAGCAGAGGGAAATGCACCACTTGAGAGTTCTTTGGCTTTGTGACTTACCTGATTTAGTTGGAGGTTGGCCTTCCCACTCCTAGGTGGGTTGAAGTTCCTAAGCGACCAATGTCAGCAGCAAAGCAGGGCTCACGCCAATGGGCTATCGGGTGTACCCTGGCAATCTGCGTTGGGTGGGACCCTCCTAATCCACTATTCTTTGTCCTCTGGACGGTGCTGCTTGAGCAAGAACAACAACACCACCCTAACTGGTGCCTGTTTGACTAAAAACACATTGAGCTTCCCTACTCATCTGTCTTGTGGACATCCAGCAGTGTCTGGGCCCAATATCTGGGTCTCTTGTAGTCCCAACAGTGGCCACCATTTCTGATAGCACTGCTGGGGCTGAAGACCCTCTATTGGCCAGGATGGCCAACAGTCGTCTTGATTTGCCATTTAATTTAGTTGGGGCTTCCAGCATTGATCAGAATGGATTTTCCAGTGGCTTTCTCTCATTGGATGGGACCACTGCTACAGCCATTAAATTCAGACCAATGAGTCATAGTCAAAAAAATGGTTGGCATCAGTTCCTGGCCTGCACATTGAAGTAATGTTAATGCACATCAATTCAAATCTAAAATTATTTTTCCAAATTTGTGCATTTTAAATAATAGCTCACAGGTACTGCATCAGTAGATTAATATCTATAAACTGATTTCAACAACAGCTGGGAGACCTGACATCAGAATTAACAGATGAGAGAAATACTGGTGAATCAGCAACTCAACTTCTAGAGACAGAAACTGCAGAAAGGCTACGATTAGAGAAGGAAATGAAGGAGTTGCAGGTGGGTTAATTTTCTAAATTGTTGAAACTTTGCCAGGCATTACAGTACTATATTTATGATTTGTAAAGGAAATTCCAGGATTTTTACCTCTGAGTTTTTTTTAAAAATTCATTCATGGGATGAGTGTGTCGCTAACTAGCTCAGTATTTATTGCCCATCCCTAATTGCCCAATGCACAGTTAGGAGCCAACCAAATTGCTGTTAGTCTGGAGTCCCATGTAGGCCAGACCAGGTAAGGATGGCAGCTTCCTTTCCTAAAGGGTGTTAGTGAACCAGATGGGATTTTCCTGACAATGGATTCATGGTCATCATTAATTCCAAATATATAATGAATTCAAATTCCACCATCTGCCAAGGTGAAATTCGAATCCAGATCCCCAGAATGTTATCTGGGTCTCTGGATTAAAGGTCCAGTGAGAATACCACTAGACCATTGCCTCCCCATTCAACTCGAGGCATAGCTACCAATATTGAAGGAGCTAGTATCCAAGATATGCAAGAGAGCAGAATTAGAGGAGCACAGTTATCTTGGAGGCCTAAAGGAGGTTATAGAGATGGGATGGGAATATTTGCTAATTGAGGCAGTAAAGATAAATGTAAACTTAAACGTTGATTTTTCTGGTTAGGCTCAGTTTCATTACAAACAATAAACAGCTAAACAGCACAAAACAAACAGTTTTGTTGAAGCATTTCAAGCTCGCATTTATGCTCCTCCAAAGTTTCGAACTTTTCTCCACCTACTTAACAGCGTGAACCATGAACCATATGGTCAATTCCCTTCTCTCTCATATGAAGGCATGGAGAGATTTGAAGCCAGGATAATGTTTTAATAATATTGGAACAAGGGTACACTGTAGGGGTCAGAAGAGAGTATTCATAATGTTGCTTGGGCTGGAGCGATATAGCTATGAAGAGAGACAAGATAGGCTGGGCTTATTTTCCTTAGAGCAAAGAAGGCTGAAGGGGGATCTGATTGAGGTGTGCAAAGTTCAGAAGGATGTAGACAGGATTGCAAGGGAGAAACTATTCCCCTCAGTTAAGGTGTCAATACCGGGTTCGTACAGTTTTGTGGTAAGGAGCAGGAGGTTCACATGGGATTTGAAGAAAACTGACTGACCAGAACAGTTCTGAAGAAGGGTCACTGGACCTGAAACATTAACTGTGATGTCTCTGCACAGATGCTGCCAGACCCTGCTGAGTTTTTCCAGCAACTTCTGTTTTTGTTTCTGGTTCCAGCATTCACAGTTCTTTCAGTTTTATTTTACTAGAGTGAGTATTACCTTGGATGAGAGTTTTCGCAGCAGATGATCTCAGGTGGGGTGGAAGTGAGCAGAGATTGAAATAAGCAAATCTGGTAGTGGAGAATATATGTGATCAGAAGCTAACTTCAGGGTTAAGTATAATGCCTGTTAGGTTAAAAACAGCTTCATTGCTCCCAGGGCATACTTTGGTACTGTAGAATTTTTTTATTCATGGGATATGGGCATCTTTTGGCTAGACCAGCATTTATTGCCCGTCCCTAATTTCCAGAGGGCAGTTAAGAATCGCCTATGCTGCATCTCACGCAGGCCAGATCAGATAAGGATGACAGATGGGTTTTTCCAAAGTCGGCAATGGCTTTATGATCATGATTAGACCCTTAACTCCACATTCTGTATTGAATTCAGATTCCACCATCTACCTTGGTGGGATTTGAACCCTGGTCCTCAGAACATTAGCTGAGTTTCTGGTTTAATAGTCTAGCAATACAACCACTGCTCAATGCCTTCCCTTAATATGCTAACATATAAGTTTGTGAAGCAATGCCAGTAATTTAAAGATTTATTAATATTCCGAAAATTGTTAAGTATTATCGTAAGCATCTTGCATTTCAGGCCAAATATGATGGAATGAAGAAGGAGATGGAGTCAATGGAAATGGAAGTAATGGAAGCTCGGCTTATCAAAGCAGCAGAACTAAATGGAGATTTGGATGATGATGACTCTGGTTAGTTACTTGGTTTCAATACGTAACCTATTTTTTGTGCTGTATGTTTTATTTATCCCAGCCATTCCATGCAGGCATTTATGCTTCTCTCAGACTTCTTCATATTTTCTTTTTTGTTTCATGTTTGCTAACGGGACATGAGTGTCAATGGCTAAGTCAGCATTTATTTTCCATCTATAATTCTTTTCGCAAAGATGGTGATGAGCTGTCTTCTTGATTCATTGCAGTCCTTAGGAAATGGGTACACCCCAGTGCTGTTTGTAATGAGTTCCAGGATTTTGACCAGGTGACAGTAAAGGAATGGTAATATAGTTCCAAGTCAGAATGCTGTGTGGTTTAGAAGGAACTTGCATGTGATGGTATCCTGTGCATCAGCTGCCCTTGTCCTTCTAGGTATTAGAGGTCACAGGTGTGGAAGATGCTGTCAAAGGAGAATTGAGTTGTGGAATACATCTTGTAGATATAACGTATTCCTTCCAATGTATATCAATGGAAACGTGAGTGCAGGTTGAAGGTGGTGATGGGCTGCTGATCCAATAGAATGCTTTGTCCTAGATGGCATTGAAAGACTTGAGTGTAGTTGCAACTTCACTCATCTAGCCAAATGGAAATTATTCCATTACATTTCTGATATGTGCTTTGTAGATGCTGGACAGACAGTGGGGAGACAGTAGAATTCCTATTCTCTAATCTGTAGTCACAGTATTTGTATGGCAGGCCCAGATCATTTTTTAGTCAATGGTAATTCCAGGAATAATGTTAATAGATGATCAGCAATGGTAATGACATTGAATATCAGCGGGAGATGGTTAGATTCTGTCTAGTTTGGGACAGTCACTGCACACCACTTACATGGCACGAAGGTTAACTGTCACTTATCAGCCCAAATTGGGGTGTTGTCTCAATCTTGCACCATATTGACACCAGAGATAGTAGGAACTGCCGATGCTGGAGAATCTGAGATAACAAGGTGTAGAGCTGGATGAACACAGCAGGCCAAGTCTGGACCCGAAACATCAGCTTTCCTGCTCCTCTGATGCTGCTTAGCCTGCTGTGTGTTCATCCAGCTCTACACCTTGTTATCCCATATTGGCACCAGCTGCCTCAATATCCAAGGAGTCACGAATAACGTAATCATCTGCAAATATCCCCAGTCATGACCATAGGATAAAGGGCAGGTCACTAATGGAGCAGCTGAAGATAATTGGGTCTCAGGCACTACCCAGATGTACAGGGACTGAGATGATTGACCTCCAGAAGTCCTAACATCATCCTTTGTGCTAGCTATAACTCCAACCAACAGATGGTTTTCTCTTATTCCCATTGACTCCAGTTTTGTTTGAGATCCTTGAAGTCTTTCTTGACAAATGTTGCCTTGATATCAAGGCCAGTCTCTTTTATCTCTGTTTGGACTAAATCAGTAATGAGATCAGGAGCTGAGTGGCCTGTTGGAAAACAACAGTTCATTGCTGAGCAACACCAATGCCAACCCTTTCCATCATTTTGCTGATGATCAAGAGCAGATGATAATTGGCCAGATCGGATTTATTTTGCTTTCTGTTTAGATGACATTCCTGGGAACTTTACCACATTGCTATCTAAATGTCTATATTTTGTGGTACTGAACCAGCTTAGCTAAGTGTGCACCTAGCTCTGGAGCTCAAGAATTCTATTGTGGAGTGGCGTTAGATCACTGGCTTTGCAGTATCTAGAGCTTTTGATTGTTTCTTGATTTCACATGGAGTGAATCGAAGATTGATATCAATGTTGCTGAGGCCCTCAGGAGGAGGTCCAGATTTATCAACTACTTTACACTTTTGGCTGAAGATAGATCCAAATATTTCAGCATTGACTTGTGTTTATTGTTAATTTGTTCACAGGATAATGGCATCACTGGCAAGGTCAGCATCATCTTTTATTATCCTTGAAGGTGGTAGTGAACTGCCTGCTTAAACTGAGGCAGTGCTTGAGATGTAGGGACACCTACTTTGCTTTTAGGCGTGAAGTTCCGGGATCTTGACCCTATGGCAAAGGACAAATAGGGTTCCCATGCATCTGCTATTCTCATTCTTCTAGGAAGCGGAGGTCATGATTTCAAAGATGTTTTTGAAAGAGGCGTGGTGATTTTCTGCAATATGTCTTTTAAATTGTACACACTGCTGTCACAGTTCCTTGGTGGTGAAGGGAATGACTGTTGAGGTTAGTGGACGGGATGCAGTCAAAGGGCTATTTTGTCCAGGATTGTGTCAAGCTACTTGAATGTCATTTGGCCTGCAGAGATCCAGGCTAGTGGATTGTACCCCAAAACGTGCCCTTGACTTCTGCCTTGAAATGGTGTACAGGCAGTGGGGAGATCGGGTAAATTACTTGTCATAGAATCTGACCTACTCTTGTAAATATAGTATTTATTATGGCTGGACTAAGTTCAGCATCTAGAGAATAGTAACACTCAGGATGTTGATAGCACAAATGTGCTGGGCTACCTAACATCTCAGCATAATCTGCTATTGTCTCCTTTCTCATATTCCTATATAGCTTTACCTTATTTGCATTAATATCATTTTGCTTTAAGTGTTTCTCTGTGACAGCAAGCTCCACATGCTCATCGTTCTCTATGCAAAGGTATTTCTTCTGAATTCCCTATTCGATATGTTGGTGAGTATCTTGTATTAATGGTCTCTTAGTTTTGCTCTTCTCCATAAGTAGAAATACACTAGGCTGAATCTTAACTTTTTTGCGGCAAAGTGTCAGATGTGTCAAGTTTCTTGGATTGTGTTTCACCATGAGGTTTAGCAAGATCTCTTGCCGTATCTTGCCCAACATGCTTCATTAATTGTCTATCTTGCCCCTCTGGAGCCGCTGTTGCCTGATTCTAGCCCCATCTTACCCACAGTCATTCCCAGAAGAGCTTACCACTGCCAGGATATCCCAGAATTGACCAATCTTACTGGTGCAGGTGCCATCTTTAAAAGGCCATTACGTACCCAGACAAGCATTGTTAGTTTGGAGTTGCACAGCATATTTCTTGATATTTATCCTGGCTGCGGCAGACAACAAAAAAATGGCATCCTGCCTTGTGGGCTGGTCCCTAGAGGTCCTGCTGGATGGGATAGTGCAGAGATCAGATGTCCTATTTCCCACCCCCAGGGTCTATCAGTGGAAACCACAAACTATACCAGACTGGTCAATGCAGTCTCAGCTATTTGGAGGAGAGCTCAGCAATTTAGGAAGCATGTCAGTGACCTACTTCACTCTACCAATGTAAATCCCAATGTTGTCGTCTTGCCACCTAACGCTCACTCTGTCTCTGTTACTGTACCCACCTACCACTCTCACTATTGCCTGCAACATCTTCCTTCGCTTGCTGCACCCACCCCAATCAGAAACAACAGTAACTCTGTATGCCATCCGTGCTGCCTGCTGATTCGCTTGGGACACTTCCCAGCCTGCACTAAAAATAACAGCTGTGCCACACAATTTTGTCTGTGGCAGAAAGAGTCAACATCCAACACGTTACCCCTTATGAGAAAATCCTGATTCTGACTGCCTCGAGCAGCTAACCGACAGTATTCAAACCTGCCAGCTGGTGTCGGCGTCTGCATCTGCCCTTGACTTACTGTGTCAGTACATCCTTTGCAAAGTCTATCTCTCTTGACTGAGGCCTGTTAACAACTGTGAAAAGATTCCAGACCGTATGTTTCAACTAAACACCATGTTAATACTTCAGTCTTGAGGGCCTGGTATTTCTGGTTGAGAGGGCAAAGTGTAGAAAGGCAAGGCAGAGTTGCTGTGTACATCCAGGTAGGTTCAAAAGTGTAAGTAGTTGCTCAGAGAGCAAGTGAAAATCCCATAGTTGTGGCTTCATCCAGTCCATGAGTTTGGATTTCCACTCCCCCTCCCACTCCCACTCTCCCTCCCACTCCCACTCCCTGAGTGACATGTCCATCCTGGGCCGCCTCCTGTGTCACAATAACACCACCCGCAAACTGGAGGAGCAGCATCTCCTATTCCACCTTGGGACCCTACAGCCCAGAGGCCTAAACATGGATTTCACCAGTTTTAAAATCCGTCCCCCCCCCAAACCTTGGCTTCATCCCGCGTCCAACCCTCCCTCTTATCCCCCACCTCCTTGACCCTGACACACAACTTGTGCATTTTCTCTTCCACTTAACTGGCCCTCCCACCACACTGACCAATCCCCACCACTGCCTACCTGCACTCACCTATCACCATCCCACCTACCTTCCCCAGCCCCACACCACCTCTCTCTTTATTTCTGATCTCCCTTCCCCTCCCCATTTCTGAAAAAGGGTCACAAGCCAAAACTTCAACATCCCTGCTCCGCTGATGCTGCCTGCACTGCTGTGTTCCTCCAGCTCCACACTGTGTTGTCTCTGACTCCAGTATTTACAGTTCTTGCTACCCCAGACTGTATGGGGTCTCTGCAGATACCAGACATTCAACTTTGATCACTATTCATGCACAGAGATACTGGACATTCCACTTAATCAAAATACTTTCACACCTACTCTTAACTGTCAGGAAGCCAATTGACTTCAAAGGGTACACCAATAACACAATGGCAAGAGCAGATTTAGCATGAAGATAAGAGGCCCGCAATTAGTATAATTGCAGACCTTGACCTCACCTGAGAGAGCTACCGCCCTGAGAGCGATTCCCCACAGCCATTTCCAGAAGAGGGTTCCAAAAGAGCTATCTCCCCAAGAGCTAGGCCTGCAGCTACCACTGGGAGAGGGATCCCAAGGTGTGTGATTCTCCTTGAGAACTATTTGCACAGCCATCTCCAGAAGAGGGATCTGGGCAGCAATCCGGAAACCTATTGACACAGGCCTGTCCCATACCAGGGGAACCAATGGCAACCGACCGCGACCAGCAGACCTGACAACCGACGACATCCGAAAGCCACCGACCTGACTGACAAGGCCTCAGATTTCCTGAGGTGAAAACTGGCTAGCAAAAACCACCAGATAGTAAGGAAAACCAAGTACTCACCCGATAAATCCACTACACGTCCTGCTGCATCAGTGGATTGAACCCAGACTGGAGGCCTACACTGTTCCAAGTCTCCATCGAAACACTAGCTACAGCAAGTAGGAACGGCCAGCTGTACTTAAAAATCGTGTTTATCCCCAGTGGTGAGCTTAAAATCTCGAGACCCCAAAGTATCCAACCTAGCTAGCAGAGAGGGGAAGGTGGGTGGTTACATTGCAGGAAACCTCAAGGGTACGAAGCCTGAATTAAGTTTCTATGATCAAAACCTGCTGTTTAGTTCCAATAGTCTTTAACTTGTATTTGATTTAATAGTGTATTTAACCACTGTCCTCTGCATAATTGATTATGTCAGTTGCACTGTTTGTTGTATTTGCCTTTATTTCTTGTGATATAATTACCTTTTGCATTTAATAAATGCAGAGCTTCTTTTGCCCCTGAAACACTGTCTACTGCTTTCTTCATTTCACATTCCCTCAATAAGTCCAGTATCATAACCAGGGATCTGGAGGTGATTTGAACCACCTAAAAATCAGCAAATTACTGATTGCACATCAGAATCTCTACAGTACCACTCTTCTCACTGTAGCACATGGGATTCTCCCTTGACCCCCAGCCCCCCTTCCCCCTCACCCCCCAAAAAAAATCACAGGACTTCAAATTGATTGACTTTCTGCGTCAGCATTGTCCTTTGGCAGTCTGGAAGCAAGATTTGCTCAATTTTGGATTTATCAACCATTTCCACCACAGATGCTCTTTCAGATGCTCGAGAAGCAGAATAAATGCAACTTCAGATATTTCTGTCTCACAGTAATAGTCTTCTACTTTCATTATCTCTTAAACTTTAAAAAGTTTAGAATAATCATCAAAGCTGAGTTTTAGTCCTAGGCCCTCCAGTTCAAGACTGTAGTTTTCCTCTGCCTTGAATTGATCTTTTCATTTAAAGGTATTTCTTGCTTTGCAAAGTGCTTCTGTTTTGATTTTTTTCTGCTTCCTTCATTATTTAAACGTAAATGTGAATTTAATTTACAAAAAATTCAGCTTATAGCCAATTACTTGAATTTACCTTCCGTAGGTGGAGAATGGAGACTGAAATACGAGCGTGCAACAAGAGAGATAGATTTCACCAAAAAGCGAATGCGTCAAGAATTTGATGATAAACTAGAGGTTGAATTACAGAATAAAAGGCAACTGGAGAGAAAAGTGAGAAGGCCATGTTTTTAACATTTTTTTTGTAGTATTATATAGTTAAATATTTGAACTGATGTGACCCTATGCCTTAGACACTACTGCTGGTTATTGTGGTCTAGAGAAACAAAAGCTTTAATTCACCAGAGCTACTGCTAGGCAAACTCTTAAAAATCTGTCTTGCAGGATACTGCTTTTCAAATTTTACCACTATTTGATGCAATGGATCAAGTGTAGTCTTGGCCATTAAAAGCCAACTAGAGTAAAGAAAGGAGGGCATGATACAGTTGACAATAATGTAGATGAGCAAGGGTTAAAAGCCAAGACCTCAGACTTGCTCATATCCCTGCAGGTTGCAGATTTACAAGCCGACAATGAAGAAATGCAACGCAGTGTTCAGCAGTTGAAGAAAAAATCTCAGCGTCTAACAGCAGAATTGCAAGACACCAAGCTGCACCTTGAAGGACAACAAGGCCGTAATCATGAATTGGAGAAGAAACAGAGAAAGTGAGTCAATTCCTACGATATAAAAACTGGAGAATATCATCTCCATATTAAAACTGAGTTGTGAATGTGCATAGACTGATTTACAGATATTAAGATTGTATAAAACATTGGATTTTGGCTTATGTGCTTAAAATGAAAAAGAAATCATTCATTTGCCATGTTTGTTTTGCTAAACTTCTCTCGATATATATTCTGCTTTCTGTATCCATGTCCTTGATGGGAATAAACACAGACATCTGCAGAACAATCCTCTATCAAAATTCCTCTCTCACCTCAAAGACAAAATTCAAGAGGCCCCAAATCCTTTAGTTATTTCCAGAATAAATTTTGTTACCTTTCTTCTGCCACAATTGCGTTGCTTAGGAGTTGCAAGTCCATGCTGCAGTTGGTGCAGTTTGAAACAGCTGGAAGAAGTCACCTCTGCCTTACAATTGCTGAATTGTCTGAGAACAGTAACATTTCCTGACATTCAAGTTCACTGTCTCAGATTTCTCAACTTAATTCACTAAAATTTTTGAAACTTGAACAAAATCGCAGGTAAGAACCACGCGTGAAAAATAGATTGGCTTTATTTTTGTATTTAAAATGACCCAGTTAATAGTGTCAAAGTGTTGCTCCTATGAAATTTCAACTTTTGATAATCCTGCATACATTGGGCTATACAACCACATTGTAGATTTGCGAAACAGTGAAGTAACCTTTGTGTTGTGAGAACATGATTCAAAAGAAACAAAGTGGTGACTATTATTTAATGATGCATTTATGAAATCCAAAGAAATTTGAGTCATCAGATTTGTTTTTTTTTTATTACAGCCTCTTAAAAGGAGATTCTGTCTGTAAATTTTTCCCTTTGCCAACACACAGACATGCATCAACACATGCTTCAAAATAGTGTCCACTCGGCTAAACTACCAAATTATATTAGAAGAAAATAGATATTCCTAGCATGTTATTCATATGATCCAGGTGGATCACTTTGTAACCGTAAGCAAGTCAGAATTGTGCTTTTTGTTGCCATAATCTCTTTAAACATTTGTGCTCCAGATTTGACAGTGAGTTGTCACAGGCACAGGATGAAGCTCAGAGAGAGAAGATCCATAAGGAGAAACTAAGCAGAGAAAGAGATGGATTTATAGCAGAGATATTCAGCTTAAAACAACAACTGGATGTATGTATTACCATAATTATAATAAAAAGTAAATTCAATAGTTTGCGAGATTTGAGCAATGGCTATAAATAATACTGTATGAATTCGTGATATGTGACATCTGTTATCATGAATTATTCTGTCTATTTGTTAGGGTTTACAAAAAAACCTTTGTCACTTTTACTTTTTGTTAAGTTAATAGCCTGAATTTTGTAGCCAGTAAAAACTTGTGTGCTTGCTACTGAATTTTTAAGAAAGGAAGCCTTGCTGAGAAATGTACAGTCGCTATGACAAGAATTTTAACTCCGTTGGAATGCAGTTGATTGCAGTGTGGTTTAATGGAGATTTCCAGCATACAGTTGGAGTGGTGTCATCAAAATATTTAAACAGCCGATCACATTTAAAATTCTCAAAACCAATCAGCAAGTCAAAAGTATTAATATATTTTAACTTAACATTGTAAGGAGCAAAATAGAAATTGGGACAAATACATATATTGAAGGTAGAAGCTGACATATCACGAAGAAAGCTCCAGCTCCTTTTATAAAGAGTAGGTTTAAAAATCTCATAATTAATTTACATATTTTTCAGGGCCGTATCTGTTATTTGTTATATCTGCTTCATGTTTGAATCTTTTCAGTCAAACTAACTCACCCACCACAGTACCAAAATTAGCCTTATCAAAATTACAAGTGAGATTCTATAGACTAATAAAGGCAAACTAATCCACCTTGTTCTTGACCTGTCTGCAGCAATTGGCGTAATTGATGAAATCAATGTCTAATGTCTCTCCATTTGTTATTCAGCTGGGTCACATTCTGTTTGTTTCTATTTAATCATAGCCATGGAATCAACCATCAATGATATGTCTTCCCTTTTATGCTCAGTTACTTTTTGATATCACCTAAGATCCTCTTTAGAAATATCATCCAGAAACAAAATGTTAGTTTCCATCTGTGGTGATGATACTGTCTTGCCTTAGCACCACCATTTCTCTTGGCAACTGGACTGTTGCTCGATTGCCAGACTGCTGGTCTGTCATCCAGAGCAGAAACATCCTCGAATTAAACATTATGAATTCTGGAGCCATTGTCTTTGAACCTGCCACAAACTCCACTACTTGGCAATTGTCGAAGGCTGAACAAGTTGGTTGTAACTTTACTTTGCTATGACCCCTAAAAGAAATATCTTTAAAAAGAAAAATGAATTTCCCTGTGACCAGCAGAGAATTGCATGACAAGACTTATGTTTTTAGACCTACTGTAATCAACAAGATAAAATCAATGTTCACTGCAAATTAGTTAGGCAACAAATACATTAAAGCTTTCTGTCTTACATTCATCCGGACGTTTCCAGAAAATCTTTAATAAGTTGCAACATCAAAGGTTTTTGCAGAAAATAAAAGTTCATGGTATAGGGGGAAGAACTGCTGTGGATAGAAGATTAGCTGGCTAACAAAAGGCGGATTGTATGCATAAATGTGTCTTTTTTTCAGATTAGCACGATCCAACGAGTGGTGTGCTACAGGCATCATTGCTGGAGCCTCAGCTGTTTATGACTCATAAATCAGTTAGATGAAGGGACAGAAGATATGGTTGCCAAATTTGCTGGCAGCAGAAAGATAGCAAAGAAAGTAAACTGTGAAGAGGACAACAGAAGGTTACACAAAAGGTTACACAAAGGAATCTGGATGTCCTCCTACATGACTCGCAGGTTTGCAGTTGCAGCAAGTAGTTAGGAGAGCCAAATGATTTTTATTCATTGCAAGGAGGCTTGAGTACAAAGGACGATGATCACTAGTATAGAGGGATTGTCTTATGAGCAAAGATTAAACAGGTTGAGACTTTACCCAGTGATTTCAGAAGAATGAGAGGTGATCTCATTGAAACATATAGAATCGTTGAGGGGTTTGACAGGGTAAATGATGAGAGAATGTTTCCCCTCATGGGAGAGTCTAGGACAGAAGGGCGTAGTCTCAATAAAATGGTGCCAATTTAATTTTGAGATGAGGAGGAATTTCTTTTCTCTCATAGTTGAGTGTCTTTGGAACTCCTTGACACAGAGAGCCGTGGGGACAGGGTACTGGTGTATTTTTAAGGCTGAGATGGATAAATTCATGATCAGCAGGAGGATCGAGGGTTACGCGGAAAATGCAGGAAAATGGACGTGAGGAATTGAATAGCAAAGCAGGCTTGAGGGGCTGAGTGATCGTCCCCTGTTCGTATTTCTTATGGTTATAAATCAGGAAGCACTGTTTAAAACAGTGTGAGGTTAAGTTTTTTTTGTCTCAGAGGGTCTTGAGCCTGGCACTTAAATTTCAGTGTTTCTATTTCATAGTAGCTAAAAGACATGGGTTTCACTTGGGGTAGATTTCAGAATGATTACCATTCCCTATTCCAGGACATTCTTCTTTAGTTTAAATTAAAAGGACTGTTTAAACTATAATCATCTTACACAGTCTATCTTTTATAACATTTGTCATATTTGATCCAGAAATTAGCTTCCAACCATATATTTGCTATTTCTAAAGCTGCCTATTTTCATCACGCAAATGAGCTTCTGCCTCTGCTCTTCTGGAACTCTGATCCACATCTTTTTCACCTGTAGATGTGACTGTTCTAACGCATGCCCGAATGGCCTTCTAAATTCCACCTTTCGTAAAGGTTGAAATCGCCCAACTTCTGCCAATCACATCTTAAATCACAGTAAATCCAATTCACTCATTACTTCTGTAATTTGCAGAGATACATAGGCTCCCATTTAAACAATTCCTCAGTGTTAAAGTTCACATCCTTGTGAATCCTCCTCCATGGCCTTGCCCCTCCTGATTTCCAAAACCTTCTCTAGGCCTACAACCCTCCGAGATATTTCCTCCTCTAATTCTGGCCCCCTGATTTTCACCTTTCCACCACCATTGGCTGTTCCTTCGGCTGCTGGGGCCATCAGCTCTAGAATTCGCTCATAAACCTCTCAGCCTCTCTATCTTTCCTTTCATAAGATGTTCCTTAAAACCTGTTTCTTTGACTAGGGTTTTGGTCATCTACACTAGTATCATCTTCAGTTTTTCTGTGTCATGTTTTGGTTTATGCCTCTGTGAAGCACCCTGGGATTTTTAATTATGATAAAGGCAGAATATAAATACGAGTTGTTTTTGTTCAGTTGTTTATTACTCAGTTTGCAATGAAAAGTTACACATCACCGCACAACATAACGTATGAGCAGTGAAATCCGGACAGGAAATGTAATGTCCTTGGCAAATTAATTGATTTTGCCGATTACTTGCTCTGCAAGGATCTGTAAGATAGTCTGTGTCAGAGCAGTAAAGGGAAAATGGCACTTTCATTGCTCTAAGCTTGCACTATATCCTGAAGTTGTAGTCGGATTAAATCGAGTAATGACAGTGAGCATCAAAAGCCCTGCAAATTTGTGTATTGATACATTTGATCTGCTAATAAGATTTGAACATCTGATAAACGAAGTGCCACAACACTTTTGATCTTGAAAACTAGCAGATAAGATGTTTTTATTACCTTATTTTGTTCAGCAAATTTGATGGTCCCTCATCTCTGGTATCATTCTAGTGGATCTCTGAACACTTTCCAAAGTTTTGACATCCTTCCTAAAGGGTCATGCCCAATATTGGACACAAAAGTCTGGCTAAGGCCACTACTGAAATTTGTTTTATGTTCAGAACACAGCTTGAAATTAGGTTTCTTTCCAATTCTCCAAAAGTATGTTTCAAGAAGGGAAGTTCAGCATTTGAATTTGTAGTCATAGATTCATGTAGCATGGAACCAGACTCTTCGACCCAACTCGTCCATACTGAACTAGTCCCATTTGCTTGCATTTGGCTTATATCCCTGTAAATCTTTCCTGTCCACGTGCCTGTTCAAATGTTTTTTTTAAAATGTTGTAATTGAATTCTGCTCTACCACTCTCTTTGGTAGCTCATTTCATATATGCACTACCCTCTGTTACATTTGAAAACAATCCATTTGACAATCAGTACATTCACGCGTATAAGTCATCAATGCTTACAAGCAGTACATTCCATGAATATTAATTTTGCTGCCAAAGCAGTTTCCTTTTAGTGACTTGTTTTCTGTGTTCAGACTTTTACAAAATACAATGATTCTTCATCAGAAGATTCTAGGATCCATGTTCTTCCTCATCTTCTATGCCCCGCAGTGCTTTTCAGAAAAGATGAGATTTGTCAAAATCTATTATAGCACTTCATTGTGATTTCAAAGTCAAATGTAAATTTAACTTTTATGAACTGTGGAATGACTCGATTCTGTCCTTTTGGTTTTTATTAAATAAAGCCCTCTTTCTGTAAAATAGAGTTAACTGTTAGATTCTAAATTCCATTTGCTACATTATTTACTTTGTGGTTATATTGATATTTGTATTATCTGTTAGATTATAACCTCATAAAACAATACCTGTAAACATATGTGCTACAGTGAACTGCTGAGGTTTTTTGTCCCCATTTTGTTATTAGGACAAGGAATCTGAAATCATCACCATCACTCAAAAGGCAGAGCGTCTGGATGCAGAACTGCAGGATCTCTCCTCTCAAGAATCTAAAGACGAAGCTTCACTAGCAAAAGTGAAGAAGCAGGTGCGTGAATTAGAGGCCAAAGTCAAGGACCAGGAAGAGGAGTTAGATGAACAAGCTGGGACTATTCAGGTGCTTGAGCAGGTACAATCATTTCTCTTTTTAAGAAGGTTTTGGAATGTATCTGGAAACATAATTCTAATTTATGCAGTTTTAGAATTGTATCCTTGGAGGAAATGATCTGTACCTTCAAACCACAGATGAAGTTTTGACCAAAGATCTTTGAATTAAAATTTTCAACTTCAGCTGTACCACTTTATTTCGTATATAAAGTTACCACTCAATACTGTTGAATATTGTGTGAATCTGTTACAGGCTGTATGTTTTGCGACAGGTTTCAAAGCAGTGTGGCAGAGGAATTAGGGAAATAAATGACTAATCTGTTTGGCTGGTATTTATGTTTGGAAACAGGAAAGAGAGAAATACACATATATTGAGGGGACATGTCACCTTGCTCCTTCCCAGTTTCCTAAAAATGGTACGTTTAAATGCCAGAAGGAACCTTTTTGTCCTTAATGTACAACATTTTATAATTTTATGAAAAACTCTAGTTATTGGATACTCCTTTCAGACTTGAGTACTACATATTGAAATTTCCCAGATGAGAAACTTCTGCTGATAACCTGATTGTTTTGAAGTTTCTTATGAACATATGTTTTTAAAAAAAAGCAATGGACCAGTAGGTTTATTAATCCAGTGCAATCCTGCTTGATGTAGTTTGCATACACTGCCACCTCCATCTACTGTCATTCTTCCGGGAGAGTCAAAAGAGGAAGGAAGAAGACTAATTCTCAGAAAAGAACCTGACGTTTCACTCCAGTCGCAAAAATTTGACAGACAAGCTCTAGTTGGCCAGTGTAACTCAGTAAGAATGTTCACTGTTACGCAGCTACCAACTGTACATTGCAAATTTTGCCACTGACAGGTATTAATCCATTCCCTTTAGATTGCATGTATTCCATCTACACCAGTTCTATATGCTGACAGTTTACACTATAGGCTCTCTGCAAAAATAACCATGCCTAACATCTAAGCTAGTCTTGAGTTTTTTGTAGCTTGTACAACTTCTTTCCCCAGTCCTTAGTAGTCTGTCTGTTTGGAACATTTCTCATCCTTTCATTATTTTAGAACTTATTTCTACTTTTGCTATAATCACTGTAAGGAACAAAACATTTTGAGAGATAGGGAAGCAGCGACATAGTAGTGATGTCACTGGACTAAATGCAATACCCCAGGCTGATGTTGAGGGGGCATGGGCTTAAATCCCATCGTGGCTGCTGGTAACATTTGAATACTAAGTGGGAACTTGTTAACAATGTAAGCTTATACTTTGCATATATGCACTGTGTAAGATAAACTGGTCAATATTCCTTTTTAGTCTCAGGAGTAGAGTTCCCATGGTTGATGGCTATCCATGAGCCTTTGTGTCATTATTGCGCATGTGCAAGATCAGGTTTGGCTATGAAAGCAGTATAATTAGTTCTCCTTGTATTGCTCACTTCTTCAGGTCGCAGTTAGACAAGGTGCCAGAAGTTAATACCGTGCATGAAAGGAGAACATTTTCCAAAATAAAACATTGTTTCGGTGAAGGTGTTTTTGGTAAACTAGTTGGGAAAGCAATTCAGTATTCCTGGAGCATAATGTTTTTGTCCAAATTTAGGCCAAGCTTCGATTGGAAATGGAAATGGAAAGGCACAGACAAACTCAAGTCAAGGAGATTGAAAGTAAAGAGGAGGAGGTGGAAGAAATTAGACAGTCTTGTCAGAAAAAGGTAAGTTTTCTTCCTGTAATACCTAGTAACATGGAAATATTTATTTTATATGAATAGTGTTTGAAAATTGAATTTTAGGCTATGTAAGTTGCACTTTTGTAGCTGTCTAGTTACATCTGCTCATTCAGAATTCCAATGTATTTGTGTTGAATAACATGAAAATACAGAAAGTTAAAAGTAAGGTCACGATACATAGCAGTTACCTTTTTTATATTCACTATTAATATGATATAAAATTACTAACGCAACTAGAAATCCCACTTTAGAATATTTACATTTATCTGTGGAGAGAAAACATTTATTATAACGTTAAAAAAGGGAGATTTTTGTTGCATCACATTGAGAGGAGTTCGAACCTCTCTGATAATTAAAACGAAACACAAGCTCCCAATCTGTTATGGTGGATCAGAGGTTTCCTTCTAATAATTAAACTGAAACACCCAGAGAAGCTTGCCTCACCTTTATAATCTGTTAAAAAGAATGAATAAATGAAAGAAAATCTCTGATATTCACTTTATAAGTAACAAGTAACAATTTATTTATTTAACCCTAACCATGAACAAATTAGTTACTAACAAACTGAACAATTCCCCCTTAACTACTAACTGTTCCCTAACTAATAAATTCTACTGGTAAGCTATTCCAATAAACACAAATCCCACTCGTATAAACCCAAGTAATAAACAAAAAATTTAATCTTAGTCTCTCAGTCTCCACACCGTTCTTCTGCCGTTCTCCAGCCATAAATGCCTTTTTTCCGCTGATCCTGCTGTCAGGGAATCTTTCCAGAAAAGTCAAAGGATTGCGATTGGGATACACAACCGACTCTGATGCATTGTTTGCAACATAAATGCTGAAATGTTGTAAGGCCATTACCAAACTCAATAACTCTTTTTCAATGGTTGAATTTTTTTTCTGATAGATACAGTTTTTTGAAAAATAACCTTCTTCAATTTGACAATCATCCTCCTGCAACACATTGTGTCAATGGCTACTTTAAAGGGTTTCAAGAAATTTGGCATGGCTAAAACTGGTGTGGTGGTTAGCACTGCTTCTAAATTCTCAAATGCTTCCTGGCATTGTTCTGTCCACCGAAATTTCATGTTTTTTTTAACAAATCTATCAATGGTGTCACTACGCCACTCCCACTCAAGTTTGACACAAATTTCCTGTAAAATCCGCTCAGTTCTTAAAATCGCAGCACTTCCTTCTTCAAGGAATGTCTTGGAAATTCCTCTGCTTGTAAGCATAATTCAAACAGTTCCCTTTCCTGTTCAAGCTGCTTTATCTGCAATTGAATTCTATGATTTCCAAAAATTCTGATGCTCTTTCCAGCAAATTTCAATGTCGAGCTAATGCTGTAATTACCTCTTCTTTTCTCTCAGGCAAAGGCAACCCCAACTCCAGCTGTCTGCCAATTCCAGCAGCTTTCCTTGATCACCTTTTGTAAAACCGCCATAGTCTCTTCTTTCACCCCTCGTTAACTCTTAGTGACTGAAAGAACCATTACCTCACTTTTGATTTAACCAAGAACAAGCAACTGAAGTTAAACAGATTTTCCACTTCTCATCTAAGTTTTATGTAAAGGTCTAGGACGCTTGTCCCAAGTCTGTTTAAATCTACTGGGACATTTCATACCCTAAATCTGTCCAAATCCCGGACCCCAACTGGGCAATTCCAGACCTAAGCCTCCAATCTGTTATAAAGCGGATGTTGCCCTCCCTTTGAGATCTAAAACCAAAACACCCAAAGAGGGTGTTAATCTGTTAAAAAGGAATGTGAAAACTGCTGTAACCTGCCTTTTAGAAATTTCTAGTGATTAAATAAAATAAATCCATGACACTCACTTTACAATCAGCAAGTAACAATTTATTTATCTAACTTTAACAATGAACAAATTAACTAAACTATTAACAAACCTAATAAACCCCTTCTAACTACTAACTGTTCTGGATAAACCAAGATTCTAATGGTATGCAGGTCCAATAAATACAAGTCCCATTTACGTAAAGTAAATAAAAATAGAATTTAGTATCTCAAAATTAAAGCTAGGTTGTGTGTCTTCCTGAATGTTCTATGCCTTCGCTGTTGAATCTTCTGTCAGGAACACCCTCTCTGTTGATTCTTCTATCAGGAATATTAACTAGTTGTGGTGTTGGTACCTTTGATTTAGATGGTGCTTTCTCTAAGACTTAAAGAAGTTTGTGAGAGTCAGCAATTCTCTCTTGAGAGCTGTTAACTCTGGCAGAAGGCAATTAATTCTCCTGTCATTGTCCAACTGCCCTCTTATTGCCTTGATGACATTTTGATTTCTTACAATAGGATTAGTCCGATATTGTCAAAACCATGAGATTTAAATATAATTGGTTTTTGGTATTTAAGTGCCTGATTCAATTTGGCTAATTTCAGAACTTGTTGTCTGGGTAACATAACAAAACAGCTTGGCCTGCTAACTGTACGCCTTTTGATACAAATGTTTCAATTTGGGTGCTCTCTGTATACTTGCAAACCTTCAAGCTGCTCACAGACATCCTTTTTAAATCTCTAAGCATAGAAAAAGCGCATCATCTTTTGAAGGAACCATGCACTGCTTTTCCCCCCCAGCATTTTACAAACACCAAATTCTAATGTTCTGCCTCCCAATCCACAGATACTCTACTCAACTTTGCAACATTAAAAAAAATGAATAGTTGGTCATTTGTCAATATATGGCACCTTGCAATATTGACAAAAGTTTTGGTAAATGGAATTTACTTCTTCACATCTTCCTCAATGTTGGGGGACAATCTGCAAATTATTATTTAAGATGGGTGTTAGGTGAATTATGATCCATGGAATATTTTAATTTATCCACCTTTCAGATTTTTGGGCTGATCCAAGATACACACCTTCCCAGTGTCCTCTTCACTGTACAGATATTTTAAAGTTTGGATCACTATCACCTGTTCCTTAGACTTTCTGGGTAAAATTCATAGTACTGTTGGATAGTAAGAAAGAAAGAAGCGCCATCGTTAAAGGGTATAATGCTTTTCCAAGATTTGAAGGTCAATAATGAAATATTTTTTTCTGAAGGCTGTCATAAACAACTCTTTTGGGTAAGACAGCAAATTGCTTTTACTTGCCATCTGTGACAGACATTATAGTTATCATAAGAATATAAGACATGGGAACAAAAGCGGCAGTTCAGCCCATTGAGTCTGCTCTAACATTCAATGAAATTGTGGCTGATCTGATAATCCTGAACTCCACTTTCCTACTTTATGTCCATAATCTTTGATTCCCTACTGTTTAAAAATCTGACTATCTCAGCCATGAATACACATGACCCAAACTCAACAGCCCTCTGTAATAAAAACAATTCCGTGGATTCACTACCTCGTGAGAAGAAATTCTTCCACATATCTGCTTTAAATGGGCGAACCTTTACTCTGAAATTGTGCCTTCTGGTTCTAGATTATCCCACAAGGGGAAACAAGCTGTCTGCGTCTACCCTGTCAAGCTCCCTAAGAATCTTGTGTGTTGCAATAAGATCGCCTGTCATTCTTCTCAACGCCAATAAGTACAGATCCAAGTTGCGCAACCTGTCTTCACAAGCAGGTCTCTCCATACTTAGAATCAACCCTCCCTAGTCTGACTCTAATGCCAGCATAACTCTACTGAGATATGTAAACCAAAACTGTCCATAGTGAACAATTTGGTTTATTCAGGGATACAGAAGGTAGTGCTGAAGGAGCCTCAGACCTTGAGCTTGACTAGCCGGTTTGAGATATTTGCTCCCTGTGTGGATGAGAACAGGGGCTGTCGGAAGGATGAGCAAAAAATGTTCATAGCGTTATGGTACAAGGAGCCATTCAAAAGGGGGGAAGAAAAGAGAAATGTCGTAATTGGGGATAGTATAGTCAGTGGAATAAACACTGTTTTCTGTGGCCAGGATTGAGATTCCAGAAGGCTATGTTGCCTGCCTGCTGGCTGTTCAGGATATCTCATCTGGGCTGCAGAGGAAATTTGAGTGGGAGGGGAAAGACCCAGTTGTCCATGTAGATACCAATGCGTAAGGTAGAAAGAGGAAATAGGTTCTGGAATAGGAACAGCTAGGATCTATTTAAAAAGCAGAACCAGAAAGATGGTAACCTCCACATTAATATCTGAGCCATGAACTAATTGACACAGGGTCTACAAGATTAAAGAGGTAAACGCGTGGCTCAAAGATAAGTGTGGGTCAAAAAGGGTTACGTTCACCAGACCTTGGCATCAGTACACAGGAAAGAGGGAGCTATTCGAATAGGATGGTACCACTTGAATCATGCTGGGGCCGAAGTCCTGGTGAATCTCTTGTAAGAACTAGGGCTGTAGACTGCACTTTAAATGAAATAGTTAGTGGGGGGGGTGGGGGGGTGGGAGCCAGCTGCATTGAAAATTGACAAATCAAAGGGAAAGGAGAAGGTAAGATTGCACGTTACCAGTAGATAAAAGGAAGGAACAGAATGTGTGAGTGTTAGTGTTATTGAACCAAGGAACCATAAAAGTGTGGGGAAACTCAATCAATAATTGAACAAACTTAAGGGCTTTGTATTGTAATGCATGAAACATTCAGCATAAAGCAGATGAACTGATGGCACAAATTGAGGTCACAAGGATTTTAAACTAGTTGAAGTGGGGGGAGGTTTATCAGAAGTTATTTGAAGCTTCCAGAACAACTGATAGGACAGAGAGTATGGAAATGCTGAAGAACCTAACTTCAGGCACAGCAGTTAAGGGAACAGCTATGAGAAGGGGCGTAGTCAATGCAGGACTATGGGTGCTGTATGTAAATAGAGTTGTACAGCGTGGAAACAGTCCCTTCGGTCCAACTTGCTTACACTGACCAGACATCCCACACTGATCTAGTCCCATTTGCTAGTATTTGGCCCATATCCCTCTTAAACCCTTCCTATTCATATACCCATCCAGATGCCTTTTAAATGTTGTAATTGTACCTGCTTCCACCGCCTCCTCTGGCA